ACATCATATTGCAAAACGTGCTAAAGTTGATACAAATTTATCTCATGTAAGTTTCATTGAAATCCCTTCAGATTTAGATGTTTATCCGATCGAAAAGATCACACATTTTAGTTCGTTCAATTTCATGTCAATGTTCCTTCGAACAGACTACAAAATAACATTCGATGTGGATGGATTAAAAACTATTAACTTATAATTTTTGAGGATATGATCGTGCATTTTTATACCCTTCATTTAAAAATATTTTTGCTTAGTGATATTGGTCAGATGTCTGATATCCTATGTAATATTTAATGAAAAAATTGCATCCTTAATCCGAACTACATTGAAAGTTGTCGAGAAATTTGTTAACTAACATGTCCCTATAAACAAGAATTTTGAAATTATTCTTTCTTAGCTTAAATAAAATCATGATGTAATTTTCCTGATCAAATTTTTCGATTCAAAAAATTTAAGTCAAATTTTTGTTTTAAAGTTTTTATTTCGTATACAAAAATTCTATGTCTAAATAACAAATTTAACAATTTAATGGAAAACAATATCGAAATTCACAATCGAAATATGTAGATCACGGCACAGGCATTTCATTCAATATTTAATGAGATCTGAAACGGTAACGTTTGACAGTGCGATAATGATAACCATCTTGGCCAAGACCTTCACTAGGGGGCAAGTATGTTTGTTGGGGTTGAGCAGGGGGCAAGTAGGTTTGTTGAGGTTGAGCAGGGGGCAAGTAGGTTTGTTGAGGTTCAGCAGGAGGCAAGTAAGTTTGTTGAGGTTGAGCAGGGGGCAAGTAGGTTTGTTGAGGTTCAGCAGGAGGCAAGTAAGTTTGTTGGGGCTGGGCAGGGGGCAAGTAGGTTTGTTGGGGTTGGACCGGAGGCAAGTAGGTTTGTTGAGGTTGAGCAGGAGGCAAGTAGGTTTGTTGGGGTTGGGCAGGAGGCAAGTAAGTTTGCTGAGGCTGGGCAGGGGGCAAATAGGTTTGTTGGGGTTGAGCTGGAGCCTCATAATGATAACCACCTTGCTGGACTGGACCATTATAGTTGTAACCGGAGTCCTGCTTTGGGTAATCATAGGCGCCACTCAAGTGGGATACATCAGCAGCAGCAACACCCAAAAGGGCACAAAACAAAGCCAAAGTGAATTTCTAAAATAAAGAAATTAAAATTAAATGAATTATTTAAAATAATCATTTGGTGATTTTCGTAATACCCACCATATTAGTATTGTTTTCTTCCTAACTGCACCTTATGCTGCAAAAGATCAAATTGAATTGTTATAGTTACGTTAAATGCCGGCGGCTTATATACACACAAAATTTGTTCGCACAATACTGCCTCCAATAGCTGGTAATATTTTGATGCGTCTACTTCTCTTCGGTGTATGTATGTGTGCTTTTTAATTGGACTGACATTGAAACTCCTCTTATCGTCAGTTTGAAACTATAAAAATCAAAAAACTTTAAAATAAATAACACAAACATTAAATGAAATGCCCAAAATTTTGTGTTATGCGTTTGAAACCACCAAAGTCCATCGAAAAAAACTCAAAAACCCAAACCGAGAATTACACCACAAAAGCCAATTGCAAGAAATCGTCAAGTCATGTATGAAGATAAACCAAAGATGATCGATAATTTTTTGTATTAGAATACCAGAAATATGTTATATGAGCTGTAGTGAACATTGGGGTGGTTTCAATTTAAGGTGTAAGTTTAAATTAAATTTTTTTTTTTTGTATTCAATAAATCCATCCAGATCGATTTTTTTGTACACTCAACCATCAGAACACATAAATATATATAGATACCCAAAAGACCTTAAATCTATCGGGATTTTTATATGGAGGTTATATCCTGGAGTAATCGAAATAACAAATTACAAACAATAAGATTGGAAAATTTGGTTAGGTACTTGTAAACATTTTTAAAAAGCTAAATACTGGAGGGTACATTTTTATAATGACAATATCCGATATCCGTGGACCGATATATCAGCTTTGCAATTCCAGGCACTCAAGAAGTAGTAGTAATGTATATGGGCACTTCCGTAGTCACTTACACGCCCATATGCAGAATGTCAAATGACTAGCATAAATATTCCGATGCCTACCGGGATTACCTAGACGAATAGACATATATAGATAGATCTTCGGTGAATATATCGTGGTGTTACAAACGATTTGTTGTACCCTAAATGGGAGGTCGTAATATTACCTTATACCATTCCACCCTAATACATACATAGCACACACCAAACGCACTATGCCGCTTCATAAAAACCATGAAGCGTCACTTGCTCTACGTTTGCAGCACAAAACATGAAACACAACCTTTTTTGTTTAAAAATAAATTCCTTTGCATAGCTTAACATCGATTTCAATGTCAAGTTTATTTGTGTCTAGATTTTGGCCACTAATTACTGTTATCTAGACTCTCTAGAGCACTTCAAAACGTAAAGCCTAAATTTGAAAAACAAAAAAGAAAACAGGTTAACACATTTAATTAAGTCAAGGTATCATCATCACCATCATAATAGGAGGCATTTGTATTCATAGCAATAAAATCGATCCACAATTGTGGGAGAGATTAGTTAAATAACTAGCGGCTTTTTAATGGCTTTTCTACCCTCATCGCTTAATTGCCTCACGAACATTTGAGATGTCACGAAAAAATTTCCACGACATTGATGTCGAAATATATGGCCCAATTTCTTTGATTTATATTTTCAATCGATCGTGTGAAGTGTGCCTACTTTTTATGTCGCAGGTGATTCGAACATATAAAATATGTTTGAAAATTTTAGACTCAAATACATACGTATACGATTTTTTTTATAATTTTTTAGATTTGATTCTTGTAAGCTTCCAGGAATTCTGTTTTGTTTTTGAAGTCCCTCAGTTTTATCCATGAAGAATGAATGTGTGAATAAAAGAAAGAGATCAGTGAAATGAACGAGACAAGAAAAAAGGACGAGATCAAAAAAGGGACTATATTAATTAAAGATCTGGAGCTAGTTCCGATCCTTCCTTTCCCGGAATAGTTCCAATGACTAGTTCATTCAGGAACTACCCAACTCTATTGTGACTTTCAAAAATCTGGATTGGGAAGCTTGAAAAGGCAGGGTAGTGGCACAGGAAATGTTCCAACGTTTCGCTGTCTTCTCCACGCTCTCTATACCAATTGCTTCGCTCGCATTCAATATTGTATAATTAGGCCTGCAGGCTGATATGTAATGTGAGAATAACGGTCAACCTTCTAATTCTTGTTTTGTTTTTGTTTATCATTAATTTTTCCTTTATTTTGGGTCTCTCTATAAAATGTTGCTTTTTTCCCAGTACCCTTGCTATTCCAAAGAATTTTGTGAATTTCTGGTTACCCATGACCTCTAGTCTAGACGCGTTGCACTAATAGGTATGACATTATTTATATTTATTGTAAATCGGCCGGTGATGCTTCTGGAGAGTATATTTGATGTCTCGTTTCACACTATTCCTCTGTGAATCGGTACCCATATGATTCATACGAGACTATGTCACGAGAAATTATTTCTGGTTTTTTATACATTTTAATATGGTTTTGGATAAAACTGTTAGAGGTTATTGTTTTTATGGCTTATTTACTATCTGTCTTTATACTTATTATATCATGACCAGCTCTAGTCGATGTTGTAACGATTTTACATTACATATTTTGTCCATTGCAGTCCACCAGGGATTGGTCTAATAACGCCCTTATACATTTAGTGTATTATCTTTGGATTAAAACCCCATATGGAGCCTACGGCTCTTCTGTAGAAGGATCAGAAACTGTGAGTTTTGTCTACCCCTTCCGGTATATGGTCTTTCTATAAAAGTTTTCTGTCTAGGATGACCCCAGAGCATAACTGTTTAGATTAAGATCGGTCAATATTTAGCAGGTCAAATGGATCCAGACTTTTGTCTGAAAAAATAAGAAAATTTGTATTGTGCGGCGTATATATTTACTCTGGAATGACATAGACCCGGTAAGATGATGTATTCGGATGTGGGAGTTATACGTAAATATTTAAGGGGAACTACTCATTCTGATATTATTTAGAAACTTATTGCCACACTAGATGGCTGAAATGTAGCGCTAAGTTTTTTATGAAGCTCCGGTTATGGCCAAGGACGATAACTTTTGGTGATATTGATATTATATTTAGGCTGGTGCAAAGAACCGACTACTTATTTTTGTCAAAGGCCATTATTATATGCAAAACATATATTAGACTGTGAAGGTAATCTGACAAAATACTTAGAACGGCTGTTTAGATGATGATCGGTTAATATTCCGATGGTTAAATCACCCAAAACCTAATGTGACTAAATTCTTATTTTATGGCGTAAATATTCACCTCGGGAAAACAAGATTTGGAAAATATGCCAGGGATAGAAATATTACCCAGGGAAACGGACAGAATTGGCCAACATGAGAGGTGTCGTGTTCCATCAGGACAACGCTAGGCCACACACATCTACAGTGACTCGCCAGAAACATCGGGAGCTTGGTTAGGAAGGTTTAAGAAATCGGCTACTAGAGTTTTTTATTTATTTATTTTTTTGTTTGCAAATCCGTGGTCCCACTATACTGCTCTTCTCACTGGTTTGAAAATAAAATTATAGTAAAAGTTTATTCAAATATATGAGAGAGGCATTATGAAGTTACCTTTAAAATGGCAACAAATCAGACAAATCGGACATTCCAAATCATGTTGAATAAAATCCTAGAGTTCATATAAAAATAAATGATTTCTTTTTCCCCAACCTAATATTTTTTGTTTTTTTTTGGCCCAAATCGGACATTCCAAATCATGTTGAATAAAATCCTAGAGTTCATATAAAAATAATTGATTTCTTTTTCCCCAACCTAATATTTTTTGTTTTTTTTATTAATAAATTACCTATTTATATTTGAATAAACTTTTACTATAATTTTAACCAGTGAGAAGAGCAGTATAGTCGGACCACGGAACTCTTAATTTCTGCGGATGTTTATCCCGAGCCTGGGCAATTAGGTCAACGGCACCTCTTCCTTACACTGACATATTTTTCCGAATATTACTAATATTCAGTATAGTTCTTCTAATTTATTGTCCCGATTCCCTTCACCGTGACTTGTGTTGTGATGTTTGGCTTATAATTGTGGCCTATAAATAGACTCGAAAAACACAAAGTTTTGGGTCCACTCCATCCCAAAATTATCCGTTCATCACCGAAAACTATAGGCGTTGTCCTTTACCACAACTGAAATCTCATGGAAAATTTCAAAGTGATCAGCTCTATATTTCCACCCTCTAGTTTGGTAATGGGTTACTAAATAATATCTGAATACGTAATGACCTGTACATATTTAAGTGTAACTCCCAGATCCTAGTACTTACGATAATACTTCTCCGGACTATGTTCTACGGAAGTTAATATATGCATCCCAGAATACAAATTTTGTTCTTTTTAACACAAACTTCTGGTTCCGTTTAAATATTCATCAAAACAGTCATGCATATTCTATGGTCAGACCCTTTTTTCTGTGCAAAATTTCGTCTTGTTCGGGTCATAATTGTGGCCACTAGAGTGACCAGAAAAACCGACAAAAAATAATAAGTATTTGGTCCATTTCATGCCCCAAAATTTTATCCGTTGTGTAGGGTATAAAAAGTTACAGGTCATTAATTCAGTTTGCACTTTCAGTTGCTTTAGTTTTGGCCACCAGTGTATATCGTCGACTGTTTTCATATTAATTGTGCACCTAATAATGAACGGTGTCCAATTGAGATTAAATTTAGAACAGCGCGCTGTGCTGTAGCATAATGAATAAATAGTTCCATTTACATACAAAAAATAAATCTGTCCTATTAAAATTTAATGTGGGATAGGTTGCAGAGTACATGTGTATGGATTGATTTAAGTCGGATCAAATATTTAATTTAGACCCAATTTGTGTCAATGGTCCTTTTGAAAATGGATCATTTTTTTGTTAAATTTTTAGTACGCGTGCGTAATAATATTTTTTTTAATTTGAAAATGTTATAATTAAAATATAACCGAAATACACATTTTATTGTTGTAAATTAAAACGTTTCTATAAGAATGACCTAAGTATCTTACACTATTGACGGAATGGAAGAA